TAAAGGTTAAGTAGCTTTATAAAAGCCACAAAAGTAAAGTAATTTTATTTAAAGTAAGTTTACTAAAGCAGTTGGACCCAATATGTCGGATCCTTATCCTCTTGCTCATACGTCTTGGTCTTCGGGTGCAGATTGATCTCGTTATTAATATTTAAACTTTACATGTGGTAAGGTATAAATATTATTTTTCTTTTTAAAAATATTAATTTTCTTTAGATAAGCTCCAAGGCAAAGTATAAATATATTCTGTTTTAGATGAGCTCAAGTAATGACAGATTTAAGGGTCGGTTCAAATGGACTTGAGCCCACACTAAATAAATAAATAAAATATACGGCAATTTTAGTCCAACCCCAAAAAATGAAGAAATATTACAAGTATACAATTCTTGGATCTCCCTTGAGCTCAAGCCAAAGTTTAAAATTTAAATAAATCATTGTAGATGGTTTGAAACTTTGAATACACCTTGTATGCATGTATCACGGGTGATGTGCCCTAAAGTAAAGTAAAAAAGGGTCCTTAGTTTGTTTTGTTTTTGTTGTTTGCATTATTGGATGGAGATTGTAGATACCATAAAAAGATTTGTAAATATAGAAAATGTTTTGAAAATCAGTATTATTTGAATGGGTATAAATAAATGAGTCTATAGGAAGTGGAAGATTATTTTTTCACCGACAGGAAAGGATATATTTATATATATATATATATATATATATAAACATAAGTTTTGGATAACACAATCTTTAAGAAACAACCACACAAGTTTTGGATAACACAATCTCTGAGAAATTATTATTCGAAGCTTATGATTGTTATGCATAGAATGTAATGACCACCAAATTCATCAAAATAATACTCCCTACTATCAAAATCGAAGTAGTTTTCTTAAATTTTTAAACCAGAATTTTAATGTAAGTTTTTTAAATAAAAAAAAAAAAAAAAATTGTGAATTGCATACAACCTTCCTGACTTGTAACAATATTTCTTAAGCCTCCCTCTTAATTTTTTTTTTTTTTTTTTTTTGAGATTGCAGATTTTATTTTTTAACATTTTTGTCCACTCACCAATTGAATCTCTTGAAGGAGAGAGCCGCAGAAGAGCACAACTTCTTCACAATATTAGCAAGAACTTCCTTTTTTTTTATTTTTTATTTTTAACTACTACAATTAAAAAACGTGATTATTGGTGCATTTTTTTTCTTCCTCTTAACCTTGTGCTTTTAAACTGGTATAACATTATTGGTCTTTTACGAAAAAAAAAAAAAAAAAAAAACATTATTGGTCTATTATTATTAAAAATAATACTAATACTTAATCCTAGATTCACCATTTATGTCAGCTCGGACACAGAATATGTGTTGTGCCATAAATAATAAAAGAACCGTAATTGAACCATAATTAATGTGGTTTAAAAAAAAAAAAAAGAAAAAAAAACCGTAATTAATGAATGATTCAATGAACAGAAATTCTTTCATGAAACTCAAGCTCTAATTAAGTTATCAAATGGCCGAAAACTGAACTCAGCTAGTATACTTAAAAATTAGTAATGGGTCATTATTTGCCTAATATAATCCTTAAAAATTTTAATAAAATCTTTAAAAACCTATCGAATTATACTGTAAAAAGATGTGTATAACATGATTCGTCCAACCATCTTGTTCGCAACGAATTTGAGTTAAACACCAACTTAACGGGGAGGTTCTATTTAATGAAAAGGAAAATGAAACTAATACGACTCAAACCCAAGACGTACCAATTTCACAAGCCATGAATTTAACCCACTGGACCACAACAAGCTCATTGTAGCTATTATTATTAGTAATTTGTAATAAATTTTACTTAACCCATGAACCTGGGTTTGGACTCTGAAGCACGATAGCAACTTTTATTTAACCAATGGCTTCATCCCATGGTTGCAACTTATTTTATATAGAGCTGAAAAAAGTTTGTATAGAACCAAAAAAAAAAAAAATTAAGTTTCAAAGCCTGAAGCAAGAAGTCTTTATTAATGTACATTTTCCAAAAGCAAAGAAGACAACTTTAACAAAAGCTGGTAGCCTGGTACAAAAATTAAATGGAGGTACATGATTTAAACTATGTGGAAGTTGGAACTAAGTTTGTGAAGTAATATATGAATGTGTTATATTGTGTCTATTAAGTCTTTGTCAAAATGATTTCTGTTAACGAAAATTTTATGCTAGCCGAGAGCTATAGTGAGTCATATCGAGTGCTATATGTTATAAGCAATGAAGGAAGGATAAAACAAAGAAGTAATATTAAGAAGGCAATCGATTCTCCACAAAGTTGTATGATTTATTTTTGTATTACTTTTTAATTTGTTATATATATATATATATATATATATATATATATTTTATGTTGTACTTTTTATGTATATAATTGTTATATTTGTTTAGATTCATTAGGTTGGTCATTTAATTTCTATTTTATAGCAAAATTGAAAAATCTCATGTGTTGGAGAACGTGGTTTTGATAGTGACGTTTCTTCTGAAAAACTTAGTCGTGATGTTAGGTAGAGTTTTGGTACCCCAGAGGGACCAGACACAAACCAGACACAAAATACAGTGTCTTTTGTATTCTCGACAGTAAAATCCTCTTGGATTGAACTTACCAATTATTTAGATCAAGAGTTCTTTCTCAAGTGTTTATAAGGTTATTTAGCTCAACAAAATCCTCTTGGATTGAATTTACCAATATGTTTGTGAACTTACCAATACTTTACAAGACACAAAATACAATGTCTTTTGTGTTCTCCGCAATAAAATCCTCTTGGTGTGCTCAACTTACCAATACTTTATAAGGTTATTTAGCTCAAGAGTCTTTCTCAAGTGGGGCCTTACTCATTGCCCCAATGCCAGTTGAGCCGCCTTGCTTTGAAAATAAATATTGGTAAGTTGAGCACACCAGTCATTAGTATACTTATTCAATCATATATAATATATTATCTCGTTATCAATAATTTTATAAGCGGGTGGGTCAACATTTTTTGGAATGATACATTATCATTAAATAAATATACTAATTATGTAAGGTGCAAAACGCACGTAATATCTACTCATTCTTTAGACAACCAGGAAAAAAGAAAATGACATCTATATGCCTCACTGCAATAGTCATCAGCAAGGAATTGTTTCCTTGCCACTGAACTTTCTCCCCCACCACTAAAACCCAAACAAGATAGCCAAATAATAGCGACGCTTCACCTCCTTTTGAATATTCAAAACCATGAACTTTCAACTTTTTACGACCCTTGTCTAAATCAATCCTACTTTTCTAATAGCCAAAAAATGAACAAGAACAATGCATCCATGTAACTGAGATAGGATATCGAGGTGGATGATAGGAATAAAACTTGAAAATACAGATTACTAATCAAAATGTGAGGAAGATATTAAGAATAGTGCCTATTAGTGACAAAAGAAGAGAAAATATAAAATAATAAAATAATAATAGAATGCAGCACTTTTCTGAGTTTTCTCAACAAGATTGTGGAGTAAAGGAAAATAATAATCAAGCTATATCATTTTCATGCACCTCAAGGAACTAATTAAGGGGAAAAAAAGTAAAGAGAGAGAAAGAGAAGGAGCAAGTTGTCACCATAACCAACCACCACTTTCACCATTCCACTGTACAACTCCCCCCACCAACACCACTGTGTGATGCACAAACACTCCCTATGTTTAATGGACAAGTTCATATAATTGAAGTACGATAAATGCAAAACTAGTACAAGTAAATCATGCCCTGGAAACTAATCTATGCCAAGTGTTGTACGAAGAACTGAAAATGGATAAATTTACAATTTACAACTTAGAGAAAACTGAAACCATAGACTTCAAACATTTATTAGTATTTCACTATTTGGACAAGTCATTAGAATCAAAATGATTTTGAAATGGTCACCCTAAATGCAAGTATTAGGTGGTGGCGGTGGTCAAACAAGCGTGGTATGTTTAACATAGATGCAGTGTTGACAAAGTCATTACGAACAGTGTGGCATTGGCCAGTCATGCTTAAGTCAGGTCATGGTGCCAGTGATGGTTATAAAATGTGGCGGTGATAAGTTACTAGTGCAATGATAGATTGGTGGTGAAGCAATAACAAGAAGTGAAAGATGGGGCCACTGGTAATGGTGAGATACGGAGATTCTCAAAAATTATATGATAGTGGATGTAGTGACTAACTGAATATATTAGTAGCACATTGGTCCCAAATGCATTCTAACATGTGATTTTCATAGTTAAAATGAAAGTGCACCTGTTTTAATTGCATACGAAGTGTCAAAGAGAAACCTCAGAGTGACAGTCTACTTTACCTTGTGTCATCTATTGAAGAAAATCGAGGTTGAAGAGATCGTTTGCCCAAGGGAGTGAGCCATCCGAGTTCAGTAGTGAGTACTGACCGATGTATTCCATTCAAACTAGTTGATGGGTGCTTTACTGTGATCTGAAGCTGTAATATTACACTAGAACAGGAGAGAGCATTCAGCTTAACAGAAACAAAACCAACTCGTCAAATTTTGACCAAAGAAGTTGACGGGATTAACATACGCAAAACAACCACAATCAAATATATTACCGTATTCGCCAGAAAGGAAATTTAAGTTTTACATAAAGAGCCAAACTAGACACAAACTAGTCCATTTAGGCGGACTAGAAACAGACTAGTCCATTAAACCTGGGCAAGGAGTAGCAAAACCTGGGCAGTAACTATTAAGAGGTGAATAGATTGAAAATTTGACAGTTGCTGCACATCTTATTACTTAAACATGGAAGTAACTATTAAGCTACAACCACAGAGAAATTCTACATCGTATAGAATCTTTCAAATTGTGGCTCTCGTACTCATTGTCCACTTCCACTACCTTTGATCACAGAGAAACTAACCTATGATAAATGATACAAACTGAAATGGCATAAAATCCAATGAAAATATAGAAAAGGAGTTGCACTGCAGAATTAAAGGCATTTAAAGAGGAGAGATGATTCAAGCAGAAAAATTAATATATATAAATCACAAGAGATTAGTTCATATTTCCGACACCACAACTACAGAACTGAGTACCGTGATGGTGTACATTGGTCAAGGACAGACATCCTGGATTCCTGCCAGTACATTGAATGTTCGGTTTCAGTTTTAAAAGGAAGGAGCATACATGCAGCCTGAAAAAATTGAGTTGAGACTCGTGCTTATACTTAATGTCTTCTAGTTATGACTATGTGAGAATAGAGCAATTCCCACTGAAGGCACACTTTTACAGTTGAGAGGGCCAAAAGTAACTTTCTCCTGGAGTAAAGTCAGTGCATCCATCCTTTTGAGTGGCCTTCCATCATGTACGGTTCAAGAAATCCAATGAACTGCAACAATATAAACACTATTAGCTCCATTTTTTCCAAATAAAGTCAAATCCTGACATAAAACTTCCTTTTCAATCGGTTATCTGTTTAAACAATTTCCTATTGTTTGCTAGGTGTTATCTTTGAACAAGCTAATTTTAGTCCACCTGATGGCAGCCAATGTTGTTTTACAGGGAATCTTTTCAAAACTGTGTCTTGTCCGGTGTTATCTGAGAGACAAAACTTTTTTCAACATCCATAGGAAGTTTTTTCACCACAAATATCCTGTCGATAGAAGCAATATATTAACATACTTCTTGCCACCTAAAGTTGCTGGTATTTATGCCTTTTTATGAGAATACGATTCAGCAATGAAACAAACACAGCCTAAGGAATGATGCATATAATAACCATATTGTGCTTTTCCCAAATATGAACAGAGAACGAGGAAAAACAATGAAAAGAAAAGACAAAAGAGAAACACTTATAATATAAAATAACATTTCCTTGTTCAAAATGTTCATAAGACCAAGTTAAAAATATTACAAAGTCCATCTTGATTTAAGTCACTTTCAAAATTCAAATTTTCCACCATATATAATGGCAGTAATTCAAAGCAATTTTGAAAAAAAAAAAAAAAATCAAGTTATTATTAATTTCATTTCAGTTACAATCAGAACCAAAATGCCATTGCAATAACATTCTAATCTTTTTTCTAAAATCTTAATTATGCAAAAGAAAAACAACCTGCAAATTCTTTGGAGATTGGGTTGTCAAGATCTGATTTTAACTGCACAATATTGAGATTCAGTCTGAGGTTATTTAAAATTCTAGCTTTTCTCTAGCCGCAAATCCTGTAGAAGTTTCACATAAATTTTAATCCGTCCTTTTAGTTATAATTTAAAAAGCATATAAAAAGAACATTAATACCTTTGTTCTATCTTCAGACCATCGAGCGCCATAACCATCAACAATCCTTATCTCAAAGACCACCCCATGTGGAGGAACAATATGCATATTTTGCCAGCAACAATGATCTATTAAACGACTAATGACATCAGCAGCAAGTCTGTTTTTATCGGAATCTAGTGGAGGAAAAAAGAAAAAGCAACAAAAGATCAATCAAGATTCTTATTAGAGTGATGAGTCTAACTAAGAAAAACCTTTTTCGTTTCTTTTTATAAAATGTACAATGGTCATTAATCATTATCCTAAAAAAACACTACCTTAGCATTTAAAAGGTGAATCCACCATCATATCAACCCCAACCACTAAATACAAGGTGATGGCGTATTATCTGCACCAAATTTCTAACCAAAATGGAGGATTGAGTTAAATTTGCTATTGTCTTGAAAAAGTATAAAAAGTTACGCTCCCAAATGTGTGGAATTTGATAGCCACCATTCAATTAATTATCCTCCCTCAACCCCAACCACTAAATACAAGGTGATTACGTATTATCTGCAACAAATTTCTAACCAAAATGGAGGATTCTATTATTGAGGTAAATTTGCTATTGTCTTTAAAAAGTTTAAAAAGTCATGCTCCCAAATGTGTGGAATTTGATAGCCACCATTCAATTAATTATCCTCCCTTAGCTGTTCCACGTAATGATACGATGGGTTTCTTAAGACCTTTTTAGGCTTATACAATCAAGTTCAGAGGGGGGAATACTCATGGTCATTCCCATATGCATCCAATATAGTTTCTCTCATGAGAGTATATGTGTTCCCATCAACATTTCTTTTTCCAAACAAAACAGTAATTCATTGTGAACTTTTTAAACTCGAGATCAAGTTGCCTATATTAATAAGTTGGTGCTCATAAAGAGTATGTCAGCAGCCCAAAAGAATAAGCAAAGACATCACACCTTTTTCCTTTAGGAAAGAAACTTTTATTCTTAATAGCATGTTATTAGGCATGAGAACGATCAGCGTTATGTTTACATGCAATAAAAACAACGTATCTATATTGAAGAGTCACATCAAAAAAAAGGAACCAACCACTTCCATTGAAACTACCCCAGTATCCATCACTGCTCCTGTTGATGTGCTTAGCTAAGGCCCTAGCTCCATCAGTCAAGATGCTACCTTTAACCCGTAGACAAGAAAATGAGAATAGTTAAGCACTGAAAAAGGTACCATATCATCATTCTCCTAAAGACTTCAAGAAAATAAACATATAAACTTTGTATATAAAAATAAAAATAAAAAAGAACTCTCAAGAAGAAAATGTTTTTCCTATCACTCTGATAAACAGAACATCTCAATGTCAATACAAAGAATTTTTTTTTTTTCCAATCACTCTGATAAACAGACATCCCAATGTGAATTCATAAAATACAAATATAGATCACAAGTGCACCACCATTTGGGTAAAGGATATCAAGTCACAAGTCTGTAAATGTACAGATCAGGGTTTTTCAGGTCCAATACGGTAGGTATCATTAGTGATGTCACTCGTCAAGTCGTCAGTGCAATTGGATGAAATGTACCATCCACACTATATAGATTTCTGCAATATATTTCTGACTGTACATTCCAGAGGACACACTGGAAGTCAGATTTTTATTTCTTCTACATGAGACCCATCAAATTGTTCGACCTACCTCCTCAGTGTAAGTGCTATGTCTAAGGTGCAGACAATGCAAAATAGCTTACTCATCCTCCTAGCCAAATAAAACCTTTTAAATACAATCCAAACATCATCAACAAACCCAATTCTCTCTCCGTTTTCCTTTTTCCTTGTAATAACATGAAAATTTGCACTATCAAGAACTAAAAAAAATTAAAAGGAAAATTGTATTTACAAATAAAATGAAAAGATAATAACTAATAAGATAATTATTACAAGTCACCATTATACCTCTGGATTATGAGGCAACAAAAATGACAAAAGCAGAGTCGATCTTGGCGGAGGAAGCGCCTCTGGAATTGTTCCTGCTGTACGAGTGAGACCCAAAAGCCTCTGAACACCCTCATAACTCAATCCCTGGATAGACATGAAAATAGTTTAACATACCACTGCAGGATCCTTCTACTATAACGTACATCTCTACTCTAAATAATATAGATGTTTGGTAATTAAATGAAGACAAGAGAACCCTATATGCACGTGCAAAAAATCAAAGCAGATTCTTACCTGACCATATTATGTGCATATAAATGCATACGATATAGGAGTATAAAATGTAACAGTGGAGCAGCAACTTATATAGAATATAATAATCTGATAATTCTTTAACTTCATCTTTCACATTATACAATTCTCATAATAAAAATAGAAAATTAGTCAAGATTCTATAGTCACTTATATAATAAACGTATATAAACAAAAAATTATATTCATATTCTTGTCTTCATCCTGACAATATCCTACTTTTCTAGCATCTGTTGTTTCTGCACATTTGTGTAGTATTCTGTTCCGTGTCCAGACATCTATGTTACTTAACTGCAAATACACTTACCAAAAGTATGCTAGCCAAAGGAATGTAAAGCTGAGCAGCTGGCTTCGTGAATCGTAACACGAATTGCAAGGACTCCATTTGACCTTTCCTTCTTTTCTGTGTAAAACTTCCGGTAAATCTACACACCTGAAAAGGTTGAATGTCCATTATTTGTGGGCTACAAGTATAATAAGTTTTATAAATCACTTCAAAGTCAGGCTTCTAGTGGTCATCAGTAATTCTTTCATTTAAGTTAAGTGATTGCAGGATTAACTTAGAACAAAGCAGCAACAAGAAGAGGATATGATTTCTGACCAAGCAGGTTAAAAAAATAAGCATGTTCTCTAAACTTCACTTAAAATAAAATAAAGCATGACATTATAAAATAAAGCGTGACATTATAAATGCTGGGGGCGCTCAGGACATATACTCACGAATTCATTTGCTTAATTACTAGAGCTCATTACAACTCATTTAGTGTTTAACTTATAAAAGAGTCCTCTATCATATCACTTCTTCCTCTCACTCTTCTTAACATCAGGTTTGGATAAAAAAAATTGAATCTTCTATCTCTTTGCCTTTTGCTTTCTGATAAGCTTCCCTGAAAGTTTCTGCAGTTCAACAGTTCACCATCCTTTCAGATTCCACACTGTATAACTGCTTATTATATTTGAAAATTTTCAACCAGAGAAAGGCCTATCGGTAGCAAACCAGTAACTGCCAGGTTCATCACAATATTGGCTAACATCAGGCTGTACAAACAGTCATCAAAATGTTTTTAAAAGTAAGGTTTGAATGCAGAATTATAAATCTTCTCCCTCACCAGATTCAGGTGATGGCCACTTTATGGTGTTATTTCAGAAGTGCAAATATCCCTGAGGGCCTGTATCTGTCTGATTTGTTTTTTAAAATTAGAGTGGTAGGTCCACAATCCTGTACTTTCTTTTAAGGAAAAAAATAAAAATCATTTGGGATGTTCCGGATAGAAGAATGTCCATTTGAAATTTAGGTACTTTTGCTTATATTTTGAGATTTAAGATTCTTCAAAAGAAGAAATAACTATATATTCAAACAAATTCTAATAAACAACTCATGTTCACGAACCTTTATCGAACTTGTTCATGAACATGTTCACAAGCCGAGCCATGGATTGTTCAGGCTCGGCTTGTTTATCAAACAACCTCAAGCCAAGCTTTAATCAAGCCAAGCCCGGGCTTTTCATGAGTAGCTCGGCTCATTTGCAGCCCTATTGTGTATCATTTACAATCAGTAGCGATATCAAAAAGTAGCCTGAGTTGAATTCCTAATAAAATATAAGGCTGTTACCTTCTTCTGTGGTTTTTACTCCAGGAAGGACTTTTGTTAGACTCTCTGCTTCCAACGTCTCTGAAAACCAAGCATACCTGATGACATCCTGTAAACTATTAAAGTTACATGTGCAGAAGTGCATATGAAGAAAGTAAAGATGAAATGCAAGAAAATCTGATCACCTGAACTTGAAGCACGAAACACTTGCTGAAGAGAAGCAGTGCTCCTGATCCAATTCTGATAATCAAATTAAGGCAAAATTAAAGAGAGAAAAATGAATAGGAAAGCCCAATAAAGAATACGTAATTAATCTTAATTATTATTCACTAATTCAAAAATAAAAGGCTATTAGTTTGACACCAGGGAAACAGATTTAATCTGAAAGGAGAACTAGATACACTGAGCAGGAAGAGTAGCATAATCCTTCAGGTTAAAAATAGGCAGCAATCACATCCACAGCAACTATTCTCCTTGTCCAATCTCAACTTAATTTTATCTTGTGACCCCATCATATCTTCCCCAGAAAATATTTTTCACTTCTCAGCCAAAAGGAAAACACAAGAAACACTAACAAATTCCTACAGCCTGTATCTGTACCTTCTGATTTGTTTTTGAAAATTAGAGCAGTAGGTCCACAATCCTGTACTTTGTTTTAAGGAAAAAAAGAAAAATCATTTGGGATGTTCCGGATAGAAGAAATGTCCATTTGAAATTTAGGTACTTTTGCATATATTTTGAGATTTAAGATTCTTTGAAAGAAGAAATAACTATATATTCAAACAAATTCTAATAAACAACTCATGTTCACGAACCTTTATCGAACTTGTTCATGAACATGTTCACAAGCCGAGCCATGGATTGTTCAGGATCGGCTTGTTTATCAAACAACCTCAAGCCAAGCTTTAATCAAGCCAAGCCCAGGCTTTTCATGAATAGCTCAGCTCATTTGCAGCCCTATTGCGGATCATTTACAATTAGTAGCAACATCAAAAAGTAGCCTGAATTGAATTCCTAATAAAATATGAGGCTGTTACCTTCTTCTGTGGTTTTTACTCCAGTAAGGACTTTTGTTAGCCTCTCTGCTTCCAACATCTCAGAAAACAAAGCATACCTGATGACATCCTGAAAACTATTAAAGCTATGTGTGCAGAAGTGCATATGAAGAAAGTAAAGATGAACTGCAAGAAAATCTGATCACCTGAACTTGAAGCACGAAACACTTGTTGAAGAGAAGCAGTGCTCCTGATCCAATTCTGATAATCAAATTAAGGCAAAATTAAAGCGAAAAAATGAATAGGAAAGCCCAATAAAGAATACTTAAGTAATCTTAATTATTATTCACTAATTCAAAAATAAAAGGCTATTAGTTTGACACCAGGGAAACAGATTTAACCTGACAGGAGAACTAGATACACTATATAAGCAGGAAGAGAAGCATAATCCTTCAGGTTAAAAATAGGCAGCAAACACATCCACAGCAACTATTCTCCTTGTCCAATCTCAACTTAATTTTATCTTGCGACCCCATCATATCTTCCCCAGAAAATATTTTTCACTTCTCACCCAAAAGGAAAACACAAGAAACACTAACAAATTTCTACAGTCTATTTCTTTCTATATGGACATTCTTTTTCAACTCTTTAAGAAAAGTGAAGTATGCTTGTCTTAGTGAGCCACTGAGCCCTGAGAAGATTATTGTTATTGTTTAACACCTTCAACCTGACAAGGTTAATAGGGTTTCAGTTGTGTATTAATTCACAGAAATTAAGTAAGAGCTATTACATGGGTTGGACTCCACTACTCCCTTCTTCCATCTTATAGCTTGGAGTACTCTGCTCCATCATTTCTTTCTTCTTTTTTTCTTTTAACTATTTCCATCTTTTGTGCATGTCATTGCAATAAAACTTATGCAGTGGCAACTCCATGGATTTATATGTAACTTAAGGTACCTATTTTTCCAAACAAGTGATGTTGTGGGGGTTTAGAATCAGGACAAAAACAGCCCCATTAAAGTTAAAAGACTCAACCAAACCCCAAAATTTTTTATTAATATTGTTGAAGACAGTTACATGGTTTGGCTTAAATTCGTGACTTCCAATGGTTTGGCTTAAGCGAAGGTTGGATTTTTTTTTATTGTATTTTATAAATTTCAACCAATTTCTTTTCTAAGATATACATATAATGTACAGTATTGTTTGAACTCTGAACTCCCATGTCTTACAGAGAAAAAAACAAAAAACTGGAATTTCACACAGATTTTCTGTTTACACATACATGGAGATACGGTTATGGAAGTGAACAACTGAGGCATAATCAGTGTTTACACATACATGGAGTTAACAGGCTCAACCAAACCCCAAATAAGTGCGATCAAGTTGAACTCTGTATTACACAGACTAAATCTCTTGTTTGATGAAAAATCTAAACCCATCTACCTTGGGTACGTTGGCAGGTCCAAGTTCAAATTTGTCGCATCGATCAATCATAATGACAGAGTTGTCAGAGGGATTATCTGTTTGAATGTCTATTTAGGGGTTCAGAGAAGTTAATTCTGTTAGAGCTGCAGTTGAAACTCTAAATACTTGGTTTACGTTGAGCTTGATTCAAATTTCAAACAAAACCAACCCAAGTAGGACCTGTAACAGTTACATAGTATTTGATTTATGACACAAAAGAAGAGAGCAACGTGAAAAAAGAACGTAAAAAAATTCAGCAAAGTGCATTATTACAGAATTTATATACAGGACTAAAATAATCCATACTTATTATAGTCACCAACAGCACATCTTCCTTCAGTTGTTTTTAGGCCATCTGCAAGCAATGCCAAGTTAATATGAATAAATAATCATTCACCAGATAGAAACAATTTATCAAGAAATCAAGCTCAAAAGCAATTAGGACTTCCACAGTTAAGTATCAAAATATATAATCCAGTTATGGGCCGCCATGTACTTCTTAATACAAACACACAATACCTTTGAGCTGGGAAAAGAAAGGCTCCTGAACATGAAGTTCAAAGTCTATAGTTTTCAACACCTGATAGAAGGGCATACAATATGTTAACAACAATGACACCAATGTATCATAAATAAATATAATAAGAAGGAAAACAGAAAATGATTGACATCATCACGTTTAACTTACGTTTACTAATTCAGACCCCTTTGCTAGAACCAATTGATTCCACTTTTCTTCTTTCTGCTTCATGGAACTGTCTTCATGGATCAATTCCATTTCTTTATATGTCCCGCAGAAAGTTCCAGAAGATATAGACTGGTACAAAGCTGATGCTAGAGGCTTGCGTAGAGGATATTGAGAAACTCCTCCGGAAAAATCTGTAACAAGTGTGAATGAAAAATGTCTTTTCTTAATCATAAATGCATTGGCCACCAGATTTGTGTAATCTATTGTCAAAATTAAGCTTCATTCTAGCACAACACAAGGCGTTTCCAATGCTTCATTTCCTACCACGTGCATGGCAAGTTCCACACACCAGTAGCATTAGAACTGCATATCCATATATACTTGCAAACAAATGAAATGCACATCTCTGAGTGTTTACATTGACAAGCTCCAAAACATTCTAAAGCCGAAGATCGAGAGGATATTACTTTTATATTATTTACTCATATTTGGCTTGCAAATAAAGACTGTAACCACAGAAAATTAGCCTCATAGAACTTCCAAAATCATGAATATAAACAAACTTAATAATTTATTTAGAAAAAATATTGCTGCTTGTTTCTTATATTGGTTAGTATAGCTGCATAGATTCTGAAAGTTCTTTAACTTGCCAAGAAAGATTCCAATGGTATATAATTAAGGTCCACAGTACAAAAGGATTCACAAGTTTGATTTGTACTAAATATGTCTCAGATTGTTTGCCTCTTTTTCATTCCTACTCTCTTCTTCTTCGGCTTCTATCCGACTTCACTTATTTGAGCAAGTTACTAAAACAATACTCTTTTTCCTGCCCAAATCCCACATCAACTACACACCAAATGACATTCAGCCCAGCACATGTATGTATGTAAATGTACCTCAGCTTGGATCACCAATCGGATTAGTACTGTTTTAATGATTCATTTCAAAATTGAGTTAACTATACAGAAGCTCGGCCAAATTTATGTTGCCTAAAATTGAAAAATAATAATAATCCAATTGTCCAAATTCAGATAATTTCAATAATACAAACAAATTCAGACTCAGAATTGGCCTCCAAACTGCCCACAGATTCACAACTTACAAACCACGTCCCCACCCCTTCTGAATTTGGCATGCATAAATAAATGGACACAACAAGCTTCACGAATCACTACCTTAACAAAGTAATTAAGCTATAGATCAGTCATTCATTTCTAAATAACACAAGCTCTACAAAATTAACTGAATTATACACACACATACTACACATTATAGCTGGGGACTTGAGTAGGGAAGAAGTGTGTGTGCGTGTGTGTTGAGTAATGAGTTTTGTGCAACTGTAGATAGTGAAGATTTGATTTTGATGATCAAACAAGTACCGGTGTGATTGCAATTAGGGTTTGCAGGGTCGTTCTTGAGGAGGTTAGAACAGTACTCGTTTGAAAGGCCTATATCGAATCCTAGGGTTTCGTCGATTGAGGACGCGAGTGTAAAGTTGAGCACCTCCTCTATGCATTCTTTGAGTTGTACTGGACTGACTCCTGGAGACGATGGCTCTTCGTGTTCCTCCATTTCTCACACTTCAATTCTCTCTCATCTTCAATTCAATTGCAGTTGTGTTGCTATGACTTTGGTCATTTTTTTACTTGTTCTTGTGAACTCTCTTTCTTTTCTTTTCTTTTCTTTTCTTTTTTCTTTTTTTCTTTTCTTTTTTGAAGTACGTTTTGTAAGGTAAGTCGAAATACTCTTATTTTCGTTTAAGAGCATGAACACAGTCAAGAAAAAGAGTTTAAATTTTTCCAAAAAAGTTTATCATTTGGCAAAATTTCACTAACTTAAGTAATTTAGATTATAAGAAAGTTGAGTATTTTTTATATTTCTTTAAAAGATATTATTTATATAAAATAAGATTAAGATTGAATAATTTATTTTTGAATAAATTTTACTTACTTTAGGTTAGATTTGTCAATATCCCTCTGTTTTATAATCAATCCCATTATAAAATCAACATTAAATTAAATTTAAAAACAAAATAATAAATAATGTAAATTTTCAATATTTTCCAAATTTCAATATGAACAAATATTATTAAATCCTCTAGAGAAAATGTTATTATATTCTAAAATTTCAGTAGTTTTGTTCATTTTAAGTCAACAAAGTTTCAGTATTTACTATTTACTACATATATTTTAACAGTTTCTTTTTAAGTTTTTGTAACATCGTACGGATTATGGAGTATATTTACTAGCATGTTATTAATATTTTGCGCAATCGAAGCAACACAAAAAGTCCAAAACATGTTTTATTTGTCTTGTGTTTTCTTTTTCTTTCTTTTTTTAAATCATTGTAACTTTGTGGATCTCTTTTGACATTATTATTATTATTTTTAAAAATATGCTCTTAACAGATCGAATATTCGATTATATATTAATCGAATATAAATTTATTAATGAATTATTCCTCAGATTAAATTTTTTTACCTCGTCACCCTTTTGCCGTTGTTCCATTCCTGAATTTGAGGTCAGTAAAGTAATCAACAACTTACCTTTATCAATTTCTCTTTGAAACCATTAATTTATCTTGAGAAATTTGTGTATTATATATTAATTTGCGTGTATAGATGAGACGAGTTCCAAGACAGAATGGAACTCAATGCCCGTCTTCTGAGGATTAGGGCAGGCACGATTTGACGAATTTCTTGCATACCCTTTTCATAATTTCAGAATTTATAGTCATTCAATTTCAGTCATTTCCTTCCGGTATTTAAGATTCAGTTTTTAGGATGTTGACTTGTTTAATTCTGAGTGAATCTTCAGCAAGTTTCAGCATAATGGAGCTAAACTTTTGTCATTCTCTGTAGTTTTGGTTCTTGTTTGGTTCAATCATTCCAAATTTTGAATCTTACCTTTCGTAAATTGAGTTGAATCATGCCCTCAAGTATATAAACATTTGGATCAAGTGCCCATATATATCTTTACGTGCACAAATTTGGAAGCCATTAAGTCCCTTCACCATTAGGGTAGCACTCCTTCCCAAATCCATATACAACCCCTCTTTTTGCACTCGAACTTTAGGTTTTTTTTTTTTTCGCAAGTCCATGGAAGACTTTTTCCTTACCCTCCTCATCATTGAATTTTGAACTGTCATTTGAGTTCATCTAACTCCATTTTTTTCGTTCTCAATAGATTATGATTAATCCTATGATTGAAACATAATTGTAATCTGCTATCCTTGCACTAAATTTGGAGTACAGCAGTATTTCAAATGGTGCTCTAATTTCCTTCCATTTTTTTTTTTACTTTTTTCCCCCTTGCCATACTTCTGTGTTTTGATTTTCAGCTATCTCGTATAACTGATTATCCGAGGGTGTTCCAGCCTTTTAGATATATCAATGCGTTCAATGTCACATCTGAGCGCCATTTTGCCTTTATATGGATGAAGCACGGAGTTGATGGGGACCAATACATGACAACGTAAGAATTCTTGGAATAGATTTTGATTGTGAGCTGTTTCTTTTGTATCATCTATCTCTTGCTAATAGGAAAATAAACATAGATACATGACAATGTAATAATTCAAAGGGATTCCCTTCTGTGTTTGTCTAATTTGAGGGAGAAGATCCCGTTGAGTTCTTAATAATCATAATATGTTATTTTTTTCTTAGATATGGCCAAATGGAGAATGTCTTTGGACCATCTCCTTTGGGTGGTTGATTCGGAAATAGTAGAATTTGGTGCATCCGTATTGTGTCTACCGTATTGGTCTATATAGGGATCCTGAATAAGAGGATGCATCCATTCTTATTCAAAAAGGGCATGACTTAACTGGAGCACCAGAAAACAATAGAAGAGATGTATCGTACTCAACCAATAAAAAAAGCATTGTATAGAATTCAAGTTTAGATACAAAATGATATCCATAAATACTTCACAGAAACATATGTTAAGCATATTTCTCAGCACGTGTAGTTTACACAAGATGGAAAATAATATAGAGGACAGTAAAATTTTCTTGCTGATCATGATTTCTTAAACACCAGAAGTAGGAACATCTTTCAGTGCTTCTACACAATTATTCAAACAAGGGCATGTAATATACGGAAAAAACAAAACCTTAGCCACCATATTTACTTTGACAATAGATATTGGACATCTGACGATGATGTTACATTACTATCTTGATAAAAGCTTGTCGAAGTTGAAGCAACATCCCAAGGCCCAATGTGGTCAGCTACCGCAAATTCAACCTCTTCATAGTTTTGTTGAATAGTAGATGCTCTATGTGGCATTCTAATCGCTTCCAACTCTATTGCAACTTCTTTCATTGTTGGGCTTATTAGCCTCCATTTCTGTTACAAACATTTTAATAAAAAGATTGGTATTTTAAAATTTTAATTTAGTAAAAATTGAAGTTGACTAACATAAGAAGTCAATGGAGGGGAAAATTTGTTAACGAATGGTAAATCAAAAAGAACACCAGTGCAAGCTATGAAGTTAAATGGAAAGGTTTTTGAATTTTGGAAAAATTATACTAAACTCTACTCATGTAAGCATTAATTATAAAAAATTCTCTTATATTTTTTAGAAATTACACCGCACTCTTCTGTCAGAGTTTGTCAATTGTCCCATCAAAATAAATCAATTCGTTGTGCCCAATTTTGTTAGTGTTAATTTATTGACAAGTCAACAAAATGTGAAAGGGGCTAAAAAAATACCAATATTATTATTATTATTATTATTAGTTAGCAAAAGGAAACTAAAAAAATACCAATTTAACTGACACGATCTACATTTACCAATTATTTTTTCATGTTTTATTTATTTATTTATTTATTTATTTTAATCATTGTTTGTGGATCCTCCCTTCACATTATTATTAATATATATATATATATATATATTTTTTTTTAAAAAAAGCTCTTAACGGATTGAATATTCGATTAATATTCCGAATATAAATTTATTAATGAATTATTCCTCAGATTATCAGTTCCCACGTCGCTTACACGATGTAAAATCTCAGAATTTATTTAAACCAAAATAGAAGATTGGGACATATTTCCGTGTTATCTGCATTCCTCATCTTCTTTTTGCTGTTCAGCTCAGTTCCACTTTTGAATTTAAGGTCAGTAAGGAATCAACAGCTTATTTTATCAATTTCTTTTTGAAACTATTAATTTTATGTTTGCGACTGTTTTCTTGCTATATATTTCATCTCTTTGGCTCCGTTCGTTAGGAAGGAAGTAAATTGGATGGAAGGGAGAGTAAAAGGGAAGGATGAAACATCTCTAGGAAAGAGATTATGGAGAGAGAAGGGAAGGGAGAATTTAAAATTATTTTAATCATTATACCTCATAATTATTATTTTTTTCCCGGTAAATAGCCATCATCTTTACTACTCATTTAAATAGTACCATTAATTTCACTCTAATTTATTGTTTGTTTTAATTTTATATATATAATCATATTTCATCATGTAGACTGTGTATTTTTTCTTTATGTAGACTATGTATTTTTTCTTCTGAATCCTTTTTTTTTACTAATAAGGAAATTATATAACAAACAATCCATATATATATATATATATTTTTGCGTGAGATGAGATGTGTAGGGTTTAATTTTTAATATTTGGAAAGTATAATATTGTAATTTAATAGTATTATAATAGCTCCACTTGTTTTCTCTCCTGTCTTCCGCCCAAATTTGGACGGATGAAAATTTGTTAAGAGGGAGGGATAAGACATCCCTCCTATTATCCTTACCCTCCGTGTTTCCTTCCTACCCAACGAAAAATTTTTGTTCGTTCTCTCCTATTTTCTTTTCACCCCTCGTTCTTCCTTCCTACCGAACTGAGCATTTAGGTTAAAAAGTTTTATTTTTGAAGAAATGTGTGTGTGGTTATATATTTATTAATATACATATATGGATCCCAATTGAAACTGAATCCCTATTCTGAGGATGATTTGATGAGTTTCTTGTATACCCTTTTCATGATTTCAGAGTTTATAGCCATTCAATTTCAATCACTTCCTTTAGGTAGTCTGCATAAGATTTTAAGATTTAGTTCTTAGGATGATGATTTGTTTAATTCTGAGCGAATCTTCAGCAAGATTCAGAATAATGGAGCTAAAATTTTGTCATTCTCTGTAGTTTGGTTCTTGTTTACCATGCCTTTTGTGCTGAATATCTTGTAAATTGAGTTGAAAAAAGGGATTATAGGCGATGACTTCCATCTTGAATAGCCCATTTGGGATCTAGGCCTTCTACAGCGTCATCGTAAAGCTGACCAGTCTGTTCTGATCTGGTTGAAAATCCATATGAAAAAGATCATCAATATGATAATGGAATTGATTAAGGCTTATTGTCAGTCTAGCCTCAGGGACACTCCTTTTTTAGTACATTCAATAACGATGAGTGAGCAAGAAAGTCATTGAGGGTGATTGCAAACAAGTCATGGAACTTTTCGTACTACCAATATAACTGACAACTATTGCCCGCCCATCCAAAGTTTGAGCCAGCGACAAGATGGGAAGCAAGAAAAGAAGTACAAACATTTGGATCAAGTGCCCCTATATCTTTATGTGCACAAAATTGGAAGCCATTTAGTAGCACTCCATCCCAAACCCATATACAAACCCTCTTTTGGCACTTGAACTTCCTTCTTTTTTTTTCTTTTTTTTTCCAAGTCCATGGAAGAGCCCTTGCCTTCCTCATCATTGAAATTTGAACTG